CCCCCCCGAAAAAAGGCCCGGTTGTGCTCTGCAGCTTTCTGGGCACTCGATTCAATGGTGCTTTTTGTGCTCGGAGAAGAGCCGCGTGTTAAAAGCGCGTTTCATGCGTCGGTAGCTGTAGGTCATAGTTGTGACTGTCGAGTCCTCTTTCTTTAATGAGCTGCTGAGCTCCTAAGTGCCGTACTTGAAAGTACCTCCCAAAGGTTGCTCTTGAATCTTCCTGAGGCTCTTCAAGCTCATAAACACCTCTTGTAATGCAAGAGAACAAAACCTCCTCCCCCTCGTTTTGACAGAGGGGTAATGCACTTCGCCGAAACGGCGTGCTATTCCTCTGCCTCAACAGGTGGCTGAACGCGGCCTCCTAGTTAAAGCTCTGCGATGGCATCTGTACTACTGACGCTTTTACACTTGTAGCGGAGCCAGAGCACGCGATGCCGCTGCCGAGACCTCGGGCTTTAAAGCATTGCTGTGGCTGGTCACCTCATCCTTAACGGTGCTTGGACGCGTGCCTCAGAAAATTGAGGCTGTCGTGTCAGGAGAGTTATTTTTTCGTTCACAAGACCTTTGCTTGCGTCTGCCTTGCAAAACGTTATGGAAATAATAGTGGCGTGGACACAAGTAATAGCGATATGAATTACATTGCTGTGTCTGAACTTGATATTCCATGGCTCTGTCTTGGCCGTAGGGGTTTTGTTTGGCTTGTTTTTAGAATATTAGGTTAATGAACATGTGGTAGAACTGAACGCTTTGTTTAAGATGTGGTCACTGTTAATAGCTCAGAGCTTTTTTTTTTAATTATTTTTATAACACTTGGGTCAAAGTTTCTAGTTCTGCAGGTTTAAAACAGTGGAGCCAGTGGAGTTAAATGAGTGGTGTGTAAAAGTGAAAGCACTGTTATTAGTCAACAAGGAGTTTTTAGAATAGCTGTAGAGGCTTAAAAGACAGCTTTGAAAAAAAAGCCATATTTTGCATGGTATGTACTTGATTTTTTAAGGAGATGCTATTTCTTATAAGGTTTGTTGCCTGATTTTTAAGATCTGTCATTTCAGATGTACCGTTACTGAAAGTTTAGGGGAAGACTTTGCTTATGTCTTGGAGTGGTCCTTATGTCATACCTCATGCTTTGAATCTGGATCAGTTCCAGAGCAAACTTGCTCCAATTCTCCTTTCTTTACCACCTCCTCGTGTTATTTTTATTCTGTGTCACATCTCATTCATGCTGTGCCCAAAACATGCTTCTGCCTGCTCAGAAGAAGCTGATGTAAGAAGAACTATTTCTTTGGGTGTCCATGCTGGGTTGAAGTGCATGTGTAACCGTTTCCTTGAACAATACTTGCAACTATAAAAGTTATATGCTTTTGTCAGATGTGTTTAAAGTTCCAAATTTAGATTCTGAGTGTCATTTAAAAACTAGCCTAAAATCCCTAAATAGGGGTGCTCGACAGGTTGTATCTTCTCTAAAACTCTTCCTATGATTCCCCCATCTCAAAAACAAAACAACCACCTCCTCTCGTGATCTCAGTGAATGATTGATGTAATTCTGTGTAATAAAGATAACCTTTGAGCTTCTAAATGTTAAAATAGACTTTCCACCCCTCTTATGGGGATTGCCACTGTATTGCCTTTACTATGTTTTATAATTCATTTTCCTTGTTATGAGGTAGCTGGTTCTGTCAAATCAAATGGGTTTTGCATTCTGGAGTTCAGGCTCAGAAGTAACTATACACTTTAGGCAGATGAGGACAAACAAACTACAAATGCATCTGGAAGCTTGGAATTGGTGTTCCCAATTTTGACCTTGAGAGAAAATATTATCCTTTATAAAATTCAGAATATTGGGAATATTTTTGTGAATGTTTAATGGGACTGGTAAGAGATCGATTTATATAGCTGTTTTCAGATATGATTGCTCTATCTTAACAGTTGGGGGGTGGGGGGGAAGTTTGGTCCTGATATTTTTTTGAAGTAGGAAAGTTATGACAACTACAATACTGGAAAACAGGGTTAGACAGAGTGGGAGGAGGAAAAAGTTTTCAGTGCCCTGTTCAGTTGAGAGGCAGAAATTTAGAGTGGATATAAGATGCCAACAACAACAACAGCCATCTGTGCTTATTCCTCTTATTTTTACATGCCTAAAGTGTAAAAAGCGTGGGGGCTTTTTAGTGTTAACGTTTGAGAGCAGTAAATGTTTATAACTCCGATCCTTGAAATTGCTGGTTCATAGCATGCGTGTACTCTGAAGCCTGCTCAGGTTGCTCAGTCTTTGAGACACCTCTTTCTGGAGGAAGAATGTGACTTATTCTGAAAAGTATGTTAACAGTGGCCTCTGTTTATTTAAAAGTCTTACCTCTTTCTTAAAACTAAGCTTGTTATTGTTATAACATCCTATTATTTAAAGCATATGGCTTGAGAAATTACTGTTTGTGTTATCATAATCTAATGTAATTTTTTTCATGTGATCATAGGGAAATGTTTTTTATGTCTTGCTATGAAAAACTTTACAGACCTTTTATGTCATATGGAGAGCTAAGGTGAAACTGTAATAAGAGGAAATTGCCTGACAAAGCGTTCTGTTGGTTTCTAATTAATGTATTATTTATGGCAGAAATATGATGGCTCAGTCAGATTTGGATCTAACAGAAACAGCTCTAAAAGAAGATTTGAAATTTTACTTCATGAACCCATGTGAAAAATACAGAGCAAGACATCAAATACCATGGAAACTGGCTTTGCAGATTTTGAAGATACTGATGGTTACTACACAGGTAATTTTTGTTTCTGTTTTTACTCTTAGAAAGTGTACTAATGATACACAGGAGAAGCATTAGGTCTTTATCCAGCTCCTTGCCGTCTCTCAATGTTCTTTGCCGACTTCCCTCGTCGGTCCAGAAAGAGAAAAACACTATGAATAGAGGGGGTGTGGTGAAAGAATAGCGTGAACTACGTTATCTGGTCAAATGCAGCCCCAAAACCTCCAGGAGTGTTTTGTAATTTAATATTTTTAAGATAACACTTTAAAACAAATTGCTCTTCCCTCCCACTAAATCTAACACTATGTTTTGAAACGTTGTATGTTCTGTTCCCTACTGTGTTCATATTCTGTTCCTTACTATGTTCGTGGCCCTTTTAGGCTAATATATTACTGTTTCACTGCATGTTTTGTGAAAGTGACAGCATTTGAAACATAGTAACTCTAAATGTGCAGGTTCAGGTGTGAAAATGCCGCAGTCTATCTGGTGGCAATGGAGATGGTTGGGCTGCTAAAGTCAGATGTGCCCCTTGCTTGTATCAAATTATGTATTTCAGACTTTGCAGATATGCACATAAGTAGAGGCAAAGAAGAAGAGAATTTTAAACTGCAGTTTATTGCAGTGCATTTGATTGTTTAACAATCCACTGAGAAATGCTGACTGGAGGATGGGGGAAGGAGAAGGGGACAAACGTGTAAGTAGAAATGGTTTGTCTGGACCTTTGAAATGCAGGACTCTGACATCTGGCACTTTGCAAATACAGCTAAATATACAAATCCTTCAAACGTGCTGAGTTGCAGGATTCAGGGTTTGTATTTGACTTACCTGCCAGAATGGGGCGTTGCATGTCCCAGTGTTGTATTGAATGCTTGCTTTCTTCAGATCCTTCTGGAAAGACATGGCAAGCTCTTTGGCTTTGCTGGCAGAGTTCAGCCTCTGTTGCTACAGTGGTGGGAGTCCTGTGCAGCTCTGTCTGCAGGCTAAGGTTGGGATGCATTGGTCAGTCTGCCTAGACAAGGGTAGCCAAAATATGCCATTGAAGCTAATGCTGGCACAATAGCTACCCGTAGCGGCTTTGCTGCTGAGAATGGGGAGCACGTTAAAGTGCGTGCGTGTGGGCAAACTCGACAGCGCAAACACAACATAACTCCAGCAGAACAGGTACCTTAGCTTATGACAGTACTAAGAAAGTAGAGGGAAGGGTTGCCCTGTCTTACAAGCAGCTGCCCCTAAAATATGGGTTATTACACTGCCTTCTTAGAAAGGCTGACAAGACAGTAACCTCAAGTGTGAAGTTGTTTTGTCTCATTAACTCCCGTGGCTGTTAAAAGGTTCAGTACTATTGAATATATCCTAGCCTGCTGGCTTAAATTCTTGGGAAAGTAACTGAACTCAAACTTCTCTATCTGCTGTCCCAATATCTCTGTCCTTGTGGGCAGAAGGGGTGATCTACTGCCTTGCTGTGAGTTGCTTGGTCCCTTCAGATTTGTCGGTGCACTGCAACACTCATCAGCCCTGGCTTTGCTCGGATGCCAGCCGGGCAGCCAGCAGGGAAAGGCAAACAGATTTTGAAGGAAAATGTGCTGCTGCTCTGCAGAGCAGTCTTGAACTTGAGTTAATAGTAAATAGACAGCTTCTAACAAGCATCTCTGCTTCAGAATGAAGGCAAGACCCTTTAAGGAATGATTTAGGAATAGCTTAAGCTTTCTTTGGCTGTTTTTGTCTGATACCAGCTGATTAAGCATGACTGTTGTAGCAGCAGCTTTGATCTGGTGTAGTAGCTGGGACGTTGCTACCTTACTGAAAAGCAGAAGAGGCTCCTGTCCTGGTAAGGGGAATGTGTTTTACTCCAAAGCTGTGCTGAAATCCCCTAGGGAGTCCCCTGAGGAAAACCTACTGAACATGTCTTATTTTTCTGCATTGTGGTTGGAAGACCTCTGATATGTAGAGATATTGGAGTGCTGCAGATTGATTTGTAGCACTCCTACCCAATTTGTAAATGAACTATTTATATCCTTAGGTGACTGCAAAACTGCTAGAAGAGTGGACATTCAGTTCTTACCCTAAAGATTGTATAGATCCAGACATACCTGACATCCCCTTCTCCTTCTGTTTTGGCTGCAGCTCTGCCACGCAACCAAAAAGTCTTGCTATAAATAATCCCGTTTCATGTATTCTTTCAGCCCAGCCCAGATCTAAGTAATTACTCTAAGACAGGAGATGAAGTATTCCAGTGAAGGGGACAAATAGGAACATGTTTCCTGATTTCCATTATTTTGAATGAAGGAATTTGAAAGTTAGGGGAACCCTCCTGTCTGCTTTGGGGGATTTCTGAGTTCACAGTTCTCTTGCCTAGAGTTTCTCACTCTTATTTCTTCCCTACTTCTGAGTTTCTTGCGGGACTTGGAAACTCTGTGCAGTAATGACAGTTTTACATTGGCTCTTAGTAAATAGTTTAAGCCTAGAAAATGTTAGATGTTTAGGGCCTAGGATTTTCTTCTGCTGCTGTGTTTGTCAAGCAATTCATTGCTTGGTGGTTCTTCCCCCCCTCTCCCCCCCTTTCCTCTTCCCCTTTTCTAGACTCTGTTTATATTCTCCTTGTGGAAAAAGATTGGGAGCATCCACACAGGTCTGCACAAATCTTGATGTGTGTACACAAATTTTACAGAAATCCACACACTGCTGTGTGCTGCTGCAGGAGCATATCATAGCCTCCTTAACAAGCACCTGGGTCAAGCAGATGACTTAGTTGCTGTGAGGTCCTGCATAGTCTTGCTCTAGCCCTGTGTCATGCTGCAGGCAGAAACAAACTGCTGGGATTCATCCCATAGCAACACAGAGCACTTCTGGTTTAGCAGGCTGCACTGTTAGGTTAGCTCTCTTGCCATTTGCTTCCTCCACAATTTTCTTGGTGAACTCCAGTTAGAGTTGTTGGTCTATGATATGTGAAAGGTAGACATGAACCAGCTGTCTTTGTTGCTGCACTCGAAGTTTTGGAAACAATAAAGATTTTGACTTTTGTTTTTCTTACTGTGCATGTGGTAATTACTACTCTAGTAGTCTTCTGATGTTAATTACCATAGTTAGCAAATAGATTCTTTGATTTTTATTGTAGCAACATTACAGAAACATGCACCTTTCTATTTTCTATTTATTAGAGTTGAAAGAAGTGAAGTTGTTTCCAAAACGCTGCTGCTTGAACACTTCAATTTTTTTGTTTGTTTTTTCTCGTCAGCTTATCTTTTTTGGTTTGAGTAACCAGTTGGTGGTCTCATTCAAAGAGGAGAACACTGTTGCTTTTAAACACCTTTTCCTGAAAGGATATTCTGGTGTTGATGAAGATGACTACAGCTGCAGTATATATACACAGCAGGAAGCTTATGATAGCATTTTTTATGTTATTAATCAGGTAAGTGTGTTTGTTTATAATGACGAATAGCATTAAAGCTGAAGCTGTAGCTTGTGAACTTCTGCTAAGGTTCTATTTTTCTGTCTCCATTTGGATTTTAATCTTGCTATTTCAGTGAATCTGCTTAGGCGGAGTGTTCTGAAGTTTGTGTGTAGATGTCTGAGATTCGTCTCCAAGAAACAGAAATAAACACAAAGTTTTATTCAATTAGTGCATAGTACTGAAGTCCAGAAACCTTGAAGTTCAGTCATCTTACATGAACTGGAACCTTTGTTTAGGTCTTACTTTGAAGAGCTACGGTCTTGAATATACCTATGCATGGCATTCAAAAAATTTGTGCTTACAGCTATACTGAATTGCAGCTTTGTAGTGAGTGCCAGAGGCCTCGAAATGGGGAGTACGGTACTTCCAGGAACGTAGGGGCACCGGCCCTGGTTACAGATGGTATTTTAAGGAGCAGTGCCTTTACAATTGTGGGAGGAGGGGGAATAAATCTAGCATGAAAATTCAGTAAACAGTTCTTATTTAGTACAGCTACGTTTGAAAGTCAAAGGATGAAAGTGTGTGTGTGTAAAACAAGAAAAATCTCTTGTTTGAGAATGGTGATGTGCCCGGAAACAGTTCAGGTGAGATGAACAGAAAGTGGCCTCAACCACCTTGCATTTTCTCTGACCTTAGGGGATCAGCTTTGAGGCTTGATTTAAAGCTGTTTTGCCCACCAACAGTTACGCCCAGCAGGCATCTGGGAATTGCTATGGTGTGAAGGCTAGGCCTCCTTTTCAGACAGACACTTGTGCAAGGGCTCACTGCTGCTTGACCATCTCCTGTAAGCTGCAGCAGAACCATCAGCAGATCAAACATACTGTTTCTGCTGTGCTGGAGAAGGCCAATAATCTGACTCCTGGTATGCTCAATGAGTACTGAAGTAGTTTTCTCAGACTTTCCCTTGAACTTTCAATGTTGCTGCTGTTTCTGCTCTAACCTGTTCCTTTTCTTTTTTTCCTCTCCTCCTTGCTTTACTTCCTTCTTTCATAGGCACTAAGACTGAGGTGAAGCCCAGGTAGAAGACAGTAGAGAAATAATAGCTTTATATCCTCAAGAATGAGCCAATGTGTGATACGGGCATCAGAAAAAGGTCTCTCCATAAAATGCCTATATTATATAAATGTAGATATACCCTCTGAGGAGCTTAAAATTCATGTAATCTGGGTTCTTTGTCTTGTGGAGTTCCTGCAGTTTTTATTGCATGTAAACCTTTTAAAAAATGTGGCTTTCAGGTGAACATTGAGATGTTCTTCAAAAAAAAAAAAACCTTCCAAGAAGGCCTAAGCCTATTTTATTTCAAGATGGGCAGCTAGAATCCACAGATTTTTTTTTTTTATATGTACTAAACCACTGGGATATTTTCATGTTTTGCAGAAAACAGGCTTCTCTACTTGAAAAGTACACAGCTTCTTCCTACTCTTCTCTTGGAGTCTGCTTTGGAAACTTCTATTATGAAAAAAGCCATGCGGAGTACACTTGTAGCCTATCAGCTGGCAGAGTCTGGAGTACCAAGAGGCTGCAGAACTCTTGCTCCTGCTGGTTACTCTGTCTTAGGCTGCTTGGGAATGTATACATGGAAATTTTGCTGTTACTGTTGTATAGCGTGTTGTTTGAGAGACTTGTGCATAGCTTCTACAGTCCTGTGATACTGTCAGGAGGGCAGGGCCTCTATGTGTGTGGACAGAACAACAGCTGCTAGATGCAGTGATCTGGTGATGGCCTTGGACGGGTACCTAGTTGTGACTAGTTATTCCTTCTACTCACTTGACACGCCTTAGTCAGACTTGGCTTCCTTAGTTTATTCTGATTTTAAGATAGTGTTTTTGAAGGGTGCTGAGGCGGTGATCTCCTTGGCTGTCTAAACTTCTTCAAAGCTCTGCTGTGAAGACTCGAAAGGCAGTGCTGGGAGGCAGAGTTTTGGATGGGAACATGCAGGTTGCATTACAGCCCTTTTCGGACGTGGAGTGTGTGGCAGTTAACAGCTACTGGGCTCTTCTACTGTTGTAGGGAGTTTTACATGATGGATGGATGCAGATAATGCCCATAGGAAAGAAGAAATAGGGTAACAATGGATGGCTGTTAATAATCAGATTGGTGTTTAAGGGGAGGAAGGTCTAATCCATATCAAAATCAGCTGAACGGCAAGTCTCTTAAGAAATGAGAAGCCTTGTCTGACTTCCCATGTTTGTTAACACAAGCCTCCTGGGAAATACTTCCCAGAACAATAAATACTTCTGCAGAGATGACCAATGTTGTGTGCTGCCCTGAGCTGTTCTGTCAGGTGAGGTAATGATAAAAATTCATTAATTACTAGGTGTTTATGCTTTCTTCCTTAAAGGACCCTTGGTCTATCTGGCTTCTCTTGGGCAATGTTAGTTGATGTTAAGCTGAATGGGCAAATGGCTGCTTTCATGGTTAGTCATAGATGTGCTCTGCTGTTGGGGAGTCAAAAATCAAAGGTGGTGTGGCACCCCCAGCTATTTGCCTCAGCTACGCAAGTGTGGGAGGTGTGACTCCAAGGACAGAGGATACAGCTTGCTTCTAGTTGCACTTGGAGTAAGTGAAGAGAGTGCCTTCTTCACAGACGAGCTTTCAGTTGCCTCTATGCTCGTGTAAAGCGGACAAGTTAAATAGCCTCTGGAAGCTGCCCAAGCTCTGTGCATGCTCCATGGATGCTAGTTATGGTGCACATGTAGCTTTGCTCTTTTGTAGTCATACAAGGAGCAGTTTCTCTCCTCTTATTAGAGCAGATTTTTGGGGACAAAGACTAAAACTGTGACTTAAATTGCTCGTACTTTCAATCTTGACCTCTTCTGCCTTCTGTAAGATGATTGCTTTAGGGGAGGGATTAGTGAGGAAAAAGGAGGAGAAATATGAAAACTGTTTACTAGCCTTTTCAGGCCTTAATGCCAAGTCTGAAAAGATTTTATAGTTTTTAAATTTGTTCTTAATATTGTGCTTTTAACTGACCATCCTACCAACATTTGAGTTCAGTGTAGAAAAAGGTCTTATGTTGCTTAGGGTTTTTTTTTAATTTTGCTGAATTTTAATCAGAGAATCTCTAAGTTAAATGGTTTAAAAAAACACCTTCATGAGATGAATGCATAAAATATATCCGTGAAGTGTGCGTAGTTAGTGGCAATGCTGCACTGAAGTCAATACCTGGCATCTAATTTAGACTCTCATGCTAGCTTGTTGTATGACACGTGTGTAATTGCTTGCAGGCGCCCCAGTAGGTATGGGGTTCCTAGTCACTGTAACCAGGATGCCAAGAATGCAAGTGGCCAGCAGCCACCTCAACTTCCCATGATGTGTCCACTTCCAATTTGCAGGCTTTATGGGAAAGTAAAGGTTTGTTATTTTTGAGTTCTTATGTAAAAGCTACGTTACTACTAAGAATTTTGTGGAGATTGAAAGTTGTCATGTGCAAAAAGACCTACCATAAGGGGTGTGGGCAGGCAAGAGGTAGTGAGACCCCTAGCTCCTCCCTCAAACTGGTATCTCTTCTTAACTTCTAGTTCTGTTCTGCTTTTAAACTAGTACAAACAATTAAAGAACATTTCCCTGGGGACGCTTGGTTATGGACAAGATGAAAATGAAGGATCAGGTTTAAAAATCTGTAAACAGCAGTACAAGAAAGGCACAATGCTTCCTTCCAATGATACACTGAACATAGATGTTGCTACTGAAACAGGTATGATACTGTTGTACTAAAAAAAATTTCTTGCTATGGAATATTTACAATGTAATTGTAAATCAGTGATGTTTAATAGACTTTTGCATAGCAATAACAGAAACTAATATGCTTGTTGCTGCTTCACCCCTTGCTTTGTAGTATCTGCTTAAAGTTATGACTTTGTAGTTTATTGGAAGAAGGTAGAAGGTTTCTCTGTCCTTTTTTTTTTTAAATTGTCATCGTTAGCTTTTTCTTAATGCAGAAGGTTCATATACAGAGTTCTTGATGCTGGTAAGGTTGCAACTTCAGCGGGTTTCCTTAGCACCTTGCCGAGCAGAGTCCCACCTTCTAGCCTCCCAAGAGTTTTTTTCTACCTGCACCTGCTTCTTCCCATTTCCCACTAGTTGAGCTCTGTATGAGTGTTTTTGTGCAAAATTAACACTATGCCTGACTACATCTTGTGCTTGAGACTGATTATCTCAGTTTTATGCTGCTTTCTACATGGAATTTTTAAAACTTCAACTTTTCCCTTCTTCTCTCCCCAGAATGTATCCTTTTAAAGCCACAGGAGCTAGCCAGTAAGAAGGCTGAACTGAAGTTGAATTCCTCATTTTTCAATCTGGAATTTTACAGGTAAAGTTTGGGGGAGGGGAGGAAATAGATTTTTTTATGATTTTATTTTTTTTCTTAATTTTATTTTTTATTGTCTTTTCATAGGAATATGCTGAATTATGTTCTGTGTGGTTTCCTTGCTTTGTGTATGCTTGTATTTTTGATTGTATATGTATTTATACACTTCTAAACATTCAGGCTTATACAGATTGAAATCTCCTTCAAGCTAAAAGGCATCGCTCTCCAAACAATCCATGCCCGTGAATTGCCCGACTGTTACGTGTTTCAAAATACTGTAAGTGAATACTGGGTTTGGTTTGCATCGAACTTTTAACACTATTTTTATAGTAACAAGGGTCCATAGGTGGCATCCTTATATCCAGACTGCATGGAAAAGCAGCCAGGCATGTCCCGGCCTACTAGGAAGATGCCTTATGCTTATCCTCCCTTTTCCTAAAGGCTGCTGAATCAACTAAAATGATGTTGACAACAGAACAATATTGTCTTGTAACCTAGTCCAGCTGGTAACTTTGTAATCTGAGAAGGGAGTAAGTAATTATTATTCATTTAACAAAGTAAAACTTGAAATTTGGCTTCTTAGAATATTGCTTTTTAATGCTATATATTATATGCTCTCAAGTGTTCTGTATATGTTGCCATTTATGGTGGCAACTTTCCTAAAAGCTTACCTAAAAAAAATACCGATGCATATTATGTCAGAGCACAGACTAAGGTTTATTTTATGGACTACATTTTGCTTGTCTTGTTTCTGATTCACCTTTGTTTCCAGATCACTTTGAATAATAGAGCCCACAGTGGAAAAATCAAAATTTATTTTGATAGTGATACTGATATTCAAGAATGCAAAGACTGGCACATATCTGGTTCTAGTAAGTATTGTGTGTGCATCTGTTTGCATGATGGAAGCATTACACATCTCCTTCTGTTTCTCCTGGTCCATAACAGTTGAACTAACGAGATATTTCCTGTCCTCTTCTCTACCACCTTCAGGCAAAAACCTTGCCTATGTCACTCAATACATCTTTGTAAATCGGAGTCAGGAACTGATCCCTTTCTGAAAGGGTATTGATAATATAAGCATCTCTATACAGCTGTATAAATTACCAGGCTGTATCTGGAAGGAGGCTGAATATTTCTTCTATAGGTTGTAACTTTTTTTTTGCTCTGAGTTTACTCAAGTAATTTGGTATAATGTACTAAGAGTGGTAAATTCCCAACTCAAGCCGTTATAGCCTTGAAAATTACTTCATTTTGGCTAACTGAAGCCTACTATTTCTGAGATTAGAGGTTTAGAGTTTTTTTTTTTGCTGCCACTGTCATGATGCATGCAAGCAAAAGGTGGCATCTACCTTATTCCCATTTTAAGGCTTTATCTGACAGCTAAGAAGTGGATGCTCAGGACTCCTTCAGAGGAGCGTTCACTGTGACAGTGCTATGCAGCTACATCTCTCGCACAGTGACTTGGTGTAAAGGGCTGTGATAGAGGTAATAGTTTCTTACAAGTTATAGAAGATCTCAGTTCAGAAAGATGTCAAATGGCCTGCCCTTTGCTTGTCCAAAGCCAACTTTTGTCTAACAATACCCTGTTTTACTGGCATTGAAGTGGCATCTTACAATACGATTCAAGTAATCGCAAAGCACTGTGGCTTGTGTGTATGTTCAGTAACTTCTAGCAGCTGTCTTTCAACTAACTACTCTTTAGTAGTTTATTTGTATATAATGAGCAGCTGAAGGAGAGAGCATGTAACTTCATTATAAAGGTGAGCTAAAGAGCTATTATACTAATTAAATTAGTGTTTGTTTATGTAGTTAAAAACTATGTTGTGAAACTCTTAGGGACAATAGATACAAGTAAGCCAAAGAAAATAATTGTTTTTCAAAACTATGCTCCCTGGGTTCACATGATAGCTTCTAAACCTGTGTGTGAAAAGAGTACGATGCAGTTCCTGACTGCAGGTCAGGGAACAAGAAATGTGGTCTTGTGGTCGTGGAGAGCTGTGTTGTAGGTATGATTTTTGTGTGTGTTAATTACATTGATATGGACCAAATCCTGCATTTCTCTTATTCCATGCAGTTGTAACACTGTTGGAGCACAGATGGTCAGGTGAGCTTAGTGGAAAAACAAGAAGCTTGCATCAGTGTTGTGGGAAGGGGTGGGGTGTTTTTTGTTTTGTGTTTTTTTTTTTGTACTTGAAACGTGCATTTCATGTTTGTGGCCCAGTCTATGTAGCTCTCCTGGGATGTGATTCTCTGTTCAGTTGTGCTGGAGACATACTTGCAGAAAGATTTTTGGGGTTGTTTTTTTTTTTTTTGGTTTCTAGCCCATGTGTTTATGGGGGTGAGAGACTTTGGTGCAAAATACGTGACCTTTTGTAAAGGTGTCAATGCTTATGACAAATCTATGCCCAAAGAGATGTGAAAAGACTCTTTCCTTTCTGTGACTTACAGTTCTCCAGAAAAATACTCAGTATGTTCTGGTTTTCGATGGATTTGTCATTATAAGTTGCCTTGCTTCTCTTATTCTCTGCACGCGATCCATTATTCTTGCCTTGAAACTGCAAAAAGTAAGTACAGTGTTCATAGTCTCCATGCTTCATAGTCTCCATGCTTATTTTGCCTCTGCTATCTTGTTTGGTACTAGTTTTGTGAAGTGATTTGTTCTATTTTCTTGGTCTTCCTGAGGCTAGAACAGCCCTTTTCTGTTCTTTCCTTCTGCTTTCACAATGCTTGACCAGAATCTGCTGTCAGCTTCTTCCCCACTTGCCCCCCTCCACATACTCTGAGACTAACTCTGGCTTCATCTTGAGTTCATGTAAGCAGACCCAACTCTTCCCAACCAAAGAAAGTGATGCAGAAACATGAGCTGGCCCTGCATGGGAAGCTTTGTTCACTTGAGTTGTGCACTGTAGAACTGCTGTGCTGGAAGAGTTCCCAAATGTCCAGAGCCTGGCTGATACTTCACACTTTCTCACACCCCAGGCCAGAGTCGTTACATAATTTAGTACCATTAATTGTGATACACTTCCTAAGCATGTGGATAAAGGGAGTTAGAAAAGAGCACAGGATATGGAAGTGCAGATAGGTGCTTATCTAATCCAGTATATCCTCTCAGGAACTTGTAAACAAGACAAAGGTGAATGGGACACAGATCAGCAAAGATATTGCAAGTTGCAGTCAGGAATTAGGACAGCAGCATTTTTATTCATGAGCAGAGAGAACAAGTGAAAGCAGATAGGCAGTACTGGGTGCAGGAAGTAGAATTGCTGTCTCTGTTGGAAATGAGAGCTGTTGACTGATACTTGTATTTGAACTGAAGTTATTAATTTTGCTTGTTCTTTCACTCCTTCAGCTGAGTGGCCATGCTCTTTTAAGGGTGGACAGAAACCTCTTGTGAAGGGGGTTGGAAAGGGGATAGCAAGCCATGCATAGTTAGGTTATTGGGGGTCAGTTGTGAAGTCATTTATTTTGTGAAAAGTTAATTTTCAATGATCTAAGCGGTCTTAATCTTTTCTTGTAATTTTTTTTTTCCTGTTGCTATTACTAACAATTTTTAGGCTATTATTCCAGCAAATACTATGGGAAAAGTGGGCAAGTGAAGTTCAAGCACTGCTACAGTACTGGGGCATCTGTGCATATCTTTCATCTAAGGGGACCTGTAACTAAACATCTAAATGCTTCTTAACAGAGATTTGTGAATTTCTTCCTGGAGAAATACAAACGTCATGTCTGTCATGCTGATCGCTTGGAGTTCATAAATGGATGGTATGTCCTGGTAATTATCAGTGATATGATGACCATCATTGGATCAATCTTAAAAATGGAAATAAAAGCCAAGGTGAGAGTCTAATGCTTCAGATAAAATACTAGTCTTGTTAGTCAGGTGTAACATGCCCTAATTAGGGGACATGTGAATGAGCTATATTAGTTACTAGTCACTTTTTTACCTTTGCTAGTTCTTATCCCTTACGTTGTTGTC